TAGGTCAAAATGTCGGAAACCCTCTAGAGCACTCGACAGAGCGTCTTCGATTGCGTAGTTGAGGAACTGGGCACGCCTGTCGCACACCGCTATTGATAGCGAATTGTGAAGAAAGCTTGCTATAGACCCTCACTCTGCTGGATGTATGAAGGTAAAATGCTCGTAAGATGGCGGTATAATTCTCTGGCACCCCGTTCTTTAGCAACCAACGCCATAAAGCAGGTCGATCAACGGAGTCAAAAGCGGCACGTATGTCTAGAAATGCAATCATAGTAGGCCTGTGGTAAATGTGGCAATGTTCGAGGATTGGGCGGAGCGTGAATAGTTGATCCACGCTTCCGCGGCCGGGACTGAAACCAGCTTGTTCTTCACGGTAGTATAGTTCACCTATTGGGGGTAGTCTAGGAAGCAGAATGGATGCCAATAGCTTGGAAGCAACCGAAATAAGACTAATCCCGCGGTGGTTTACACATGAATTGCGAGCGCCCTTCTTGAAAATCGGGACAATAACTGATTCGCCCCACGAGGAAGACACTTTCTCTTCATGCCAAATTTTTTGCCAATAACTAGGTCAACCCTACGCCACCGAACTTGAACAACTCCGGTGGAAGTCCGTCTGAGCCGGCAGTCTTGAACCGCTTCAAGCGTCAATTCTCGAGGCAGACTTCTGCTTCGCTGGGACGAGCCAAGGTGGACAACAAGGTATACTGATGGACGGTGGACGTCAGTTGAATTGAGAGTGAAAGCGCTCGGCCCATCGGTTCATACGGCTCTGTTGGTTGATGATCGGTGACTCATCCGCCTCGCAAATAACCTCACTGACACCAGGCTTCCTGACCGAATGAGTTGGAAAAGCTTACGAGTGTTGCCAGAGAGGGCAGCGGTCTCCGTCTCTAAACCACGCTCAGACCACCATGCCTCGTGATTCTTGCGTATGCTTTGCTTGAGCAGCCGGTTGGCAGAACGGCGACGCTCATTGTAATCTGATTCCGCCAGGATATCTTTGCGGCATTCAAACAGCTCCATAGAACCAGCAGAGATCCAAGCCTTTAAGGGGCGTTGAGTTAGGCTGCAGCTTGACTGTCCGGAAGTGGTCATCGCTTTCCATATACAAGTCCAGTGTTACTCCGCATCTTGCGGTGGATTGTGATTGAGTGCATATGCCAGTACAGACTGATAGCTCGCTTGGACAAAGGAATCAGTTCATCTGTTTACATCAATCTTGCGGTGCTTCCTCTTGCGGGACCCTCCAAAGCACATGCAGATTTTCGCGCAGACCAGTGCATGATCTGAGTCAACGAAGGTGGACCAAAAGGACCTGCAGTCCAGGACGCTGCCGTTGATTGCAATGTTATCATTTTGAGACCACGCTTGTGTTGTGGAAAGGGGAAACGACGTTGCGGAACCTTTCTTCATATGGCTGAAGTTAGTGCTCGAGAGAAACTGATGGTTTTCTTCGCACTGAGAAGCCTCTCTTCGTTATCAGATCGGTCCTCATCCATTGTGTGGTGACCACCAAGGTGGTGTTTATATGGTAACAGGCGGCCAACCCGTGCATTAAAACCCCCGCAAGAGCAACCACATCCGACTTTTTAGTATTAGTCAAGAGCTGATGTAGTTCCCGATAGAACTTCTTTTTGATCTAACCACTACTGCAGTCAGTTGGGGCGTGTGCGGAGATCACAAACAAATTGCTTCTCTTTTCGCGGCGCTTCTTAATACTATATGAACTTCACAGCCGAACTGCACACAATCGGCTGTGAATCGGGAACCAATTCAGTAGTGCCGCCTCGGCCTTGCCACTTAGTGCTAAATCTACACCAGCGAAACCCACTGAGACTGCTTCTGGATTTCCAAATGATATCTGGCTTCGTGGTCAATTGGGAATGTCAATGTAAGCACAGTGCACAATGGGGTCTTGCAATCGGGTTTCTGAAAGGCAGCAGACGTCGATATTGAGGGACTGTAAGTTGCACGCTAGACCGGCTTGCTGTCCAATCTGCATGAGTGCCTGAATGTTGAAGCACGCCAGACAGAACGAGGATCGGGGTCGGATGAGATCTATAGCTTGAACTTTATGATTTGCGGTACAACCGGAATTGCAGCCATATTTTTGTACACATGAATCGGGTAACGGAATGTGAAAATTGTTACCAAACATTTGGCGTGAGATGAAGTCGCATGAATGTAAGAAGTAAAAGCGGTAGCCGATGAGCCAGTAGTAGCACAGTCCATGGTTTTGTTTGAGGGGGTGATACTACCCGGTTGCCCAGACCGAGATAGGGGCTAAATGTCCTACCCGCAAGGTAGTGGGACGAATTCAAGGAATCGTGCTCATTGGAAGTCGTTGGCTGATTGTTCGGTTTATATGTCTTTTGTTTGTTAGATCACCAAACAGAGGCCCAATCTGCCCCATAAAATCAGCGCAATCGCTGGAGTACACTACCCCACCGAGGTGGAACCCTGTCGCCCAACACTTCGCTGGAACGGAGTACACCCGGACCACCCAACTGGCACCCCGTGGAGGTAATTCGACAAGCCAGCCAGGCGAGCTGATGGTCGATAAGGACTTGAGGTTCAAGGGGGTGGAGCCCATCAGGCCCAGCAGGCTTGGCGCCGTCAAGCTTGTCGAGTAGTTGGTTTACCTCTTCTGCACCACAGTGCAGATTGTCGAGTTCGATAAGAGTGATGCACGCCGAACTGGGCATTTGCAACAACAGAAGCAATGTGTCACCAAGGCGAAATCAAGCTCAGTGCTGGAGGTTAGAGGCTGTCCATTCGCGTCTTCTCTCACCGGTAGGTTACCTGTCGGCCTCAGGCGCCGCTTCCTGCGCGCAACGATTTTCTTCGGGGCGGCTTTTGCTGTGGCTGCAAGCTGCCTTTCGAAATGCTTGCGTTTGCTCATTTCCACCACGTTGCAGATCTTTCGCTGCTTTCCATGCACCTCATAGTCGCCGTCTGAGCCGGAGATAAGGAAGTTGTCCCATAGTCTGCGCCGCTGCCGAGTCAGCTAATTATATTCCTTGTTTAACCAACGTGGCTTAACCGGTCCGACTTTCCAACGCTTGAGAGGCACATAGCGGTTGCCCAATGAGTTTACTCCATTATAACTGACCAGCAAACTTCAGCGAATGCAGATTGTGACAGAAATTAATCCACTCGGCGCGCGGTTCGAGTCAGGCCGTCGAAGTCCGTCCTCTAATAGTTGTAGTCTGGTTGCAGTATGTGGCATTACTGCAGCAGTAGCTCCATGTTGGTAGTAAGAACTGAGTCGTAGATCGCTACGAGAGGCTCCAGGTTGCGAATCTCGTACACATGTTCAATGCCGGTTAACATCAAGTCTAAGCACAGTGAAGTTGACCGGGGTGGTTTGCGTGTCGGTTGACAGATATGTTGTGCGGCCCTAGTTTCAAGTCCTATGTCAGCGAACTTTGCTCCGGGCTCAAAATAACCGCTGATACACTTAACCTCAGGCCAGCGTATTCGAGAACAATTGAAATCGTTATGAGTATAAAATGATGGCGACTCATATGGTCCCGGAGATGCGGCAGCAAATTCAAACAACACTTCAGGAGACTGCGATAGAATGTGACTACTATCGGCTATCCGCCCCCTCTTCGCTTTGGTGGGCACTCACAGGCTCCCACACATAGAAGAACGGATACAGAGCAAGACCACCTTTTACATTCGATAGCCTTACATGCCAGAAGCGCGAGTAGCCACTAAGCTCAACTTCCTGAGTGAGTATCGCATCATTCAACCACGTATCTGCTACTCTCATTACATCTGGCTGTTCGAAAGCAACGGAGCGGTTTGGGTCATCACGATTGTTCATGAGATTGCAGACGTTGGTGAAGCCTACACAGAGGCTGCGGTAAGAACTACCAGGCGTACTTGAGTAATAGGCGACCGCTTCGTTCGAATTCGTGTTCGTGTTGTAACCACCCGATTTACAATGCTTCGGTTTGTTTCTTCAGCATTGGTTCACCGCTTTGGCTCGTTGGTGACACACTTGAGGCGCTCCCCGACGCAGTATGCACCCTCTCACTCCTCAGACTACTTAGCCAAGCTAGTATTAGCTTCGGGCTGGCCGCGTCGATAATAGGTACCCTCATGGGCCTGTCCTTCTTAGCAGTGATTTTTCCTATGCTGATGACTTGCTTTGATAGTCACGGTAAGTGTCGACGACGTAAGTCCCTACCGTGAGCTCCACTTCAGTTTTCCAGCATGTGCCCAACCTCCAGCGTGAAAGATATTCTAAGGTTATTCGTTATGCATTCGCGCCGCTCTACAAAATCTACTCTTTCGTTTAGGTTTCTGGATTATATATTTTGCATCACTTCGCATTTGTTTGCCCATGTTTGTCATGCGCGTTCATCTCTTCCCGACAGTCGGCTGCTGAGCAGACTCTCCATTGGCGTATTTTAAGAAGTTTGCCTTGAGGTGTTCGATTTGGCAGACGCATTCATCGCAAGCTGAATTAATTATGTGTTGTGCGGCTGAGTGTCTGTGTGAGTTGCATAGTATTTGTGACAACCACCTCAGATGCGCTGTTCTACTTAGGCAGTTTGAGCCATCTTACTACGGTTTCTGCTCCTGTTCACCTTCAACTAGCTTAGGAGCAAGTTTTCACCAGACTATGGTAAGTATAGTTGAAGCTCTTCCTTTCCACTCCCATTGAGGTCATTGTCCCCTGTAATGAAAATGCTTTCCATGGGTTGCCTCACTTAACAATAACCGAACAAACTTTGATTTAAATTGCACAGGATAAACCAAAATTGAACGCTTTTGTAGCTTCCGGTATCGAATTCTTCGTCCAAGAGCACTGTGGACTATACTTTTGCCAGACAGCGGTTTCAACTCAATTCTTGAAGTCCTGACGCCGATTTTTCTCGTTCTAACCTTTACATTCAATACGGAAGTGTGGTCCCGATGTGGCCTCATTACTCAACCGATAACCGTTATATTTCATCTGCTGTTCCAATTTCTTCTTTTGTCAGGTCTGTGGAGAATTTGACCGCTTCGGCTACAGCTATTGGAGTTGGCAACACCACAGGCAGTATTGGTGGTGGACTGACCGCGGCGGGCAACAATTTGTGGACCAAACTACCGCATTTCTGCTCCAAAGTAAAGACTAAATCTCACGGTTATTTGTTCGGCAACCGGAAAGTTAAGGTTCGTGATTTCACTTATTACCTTATTGTACTATATTCCACTACTGTGCGATAGTTTTCTACGGTCATAACTGTTTCGTACCTACATCATTTTGTGACATTCGTTCCGATTTCTCCATATCCATTCCTCTACCGATGATGGTTCCCGGACACTAGGTTTCATAAGCGCACAGCGTCTACCGAAACCACCTTAACGCGAGCGAGCGACACCGAAACACCTCCATCTCGGATGCGGTTCTTGTGATCCGAATGACTGAGCTCTACTTTCCAGTGAACCGAGGTCCCAATAGAAATTGTGTGTCGCAATCCAACTACACGGTGGGTCCTCCACAGCCCTACTTTGTATTCTTAACCAACTTGTCAATCGTGACTTACGAGTCTCAGTGGCATAGTACTCAAAGCGTCAGCCGTTAACCATTAGGCCCCGAGTTCCGCTCTCAACTCGGGCTGTCTCCATCTGAGGAGCCCAAGCGAGGTCTTGGATGCCGTATCGGGAGCGAGCAACCCCGAATCACCTCCACATTAACGCGTTCTTCATATCCTGTTTGTGTGCTCGAGTGCCACTGATTGCTTGATGTGAGGTGACACGATTCCCCAATAGGCGATTCGCAGTCTTGAAGTCCACGTTTCAGTCAGGTGTGCATGCGAAGAACTAGCTAAATGATGAATCAATCATGTCTAAATGTTTTTTGGTCCACGCATATCTGTAGAACTTTTCAAAAAGTCCGAAAACGTCATTTTCATGCCCTCAGACTTAAGATGCTTTCAGTACCTCTAACTATAAGATTCATGTTTGTGACCTCTTGCATTATTCCCCATCGGTTATATTGCTCTCCCGTCATTTTCCGTGGACTGCTTCGGAAAAAAACTGCATCTTCCTAGTGCGATGTCTAAAGCACATTTCTAGATGCACTGCTTGTTTAGAGTTTCTTTGGTTGATTTGATCATTTCTAGACATCTTGACACCAGCAATGCTTTTTCTTCTAAGGTACTAACTACTCGATTTCATACACTTCACAATGATATTTCCAAAACGCTCTCTCTTCTACTCGTTCGAAATTCAGCATTTTATTCTCCCACACGTCATTGTATCGTAATACTGATTGGCCTTGTCTCTCACGTTTGCTTGTTGCCCCCAGCGAAAGTCACTAACATGCTGTGCGAGCGGTTTGTTGGAGTACCAGTTGTGTGTATTTCCCATTTTCTTCCTAGGCATGTGTGTCGATTGATTTTATCATTCAGGTGTCCGCAGTGGTGGTGGTGTAATAGCTGAAAATCAACCCATTACGGTTCATAAAGGTTGTTTTTATTTTGAATGAGAACTGAGAACTGGTGGGAAGCAGCGAGTAGAGGTTGCTCTGTGTAGCTGCATCATTCGTCGTTTTCGGACATGAACTTTTTATTTATCATTTCGCTCTCTGTACTTTGCCTCTGCAAATTGTTGGTCTAGTAGCATCTTGAATTTAGACACTGTGTTGGCTTCTACTATATGCTGAGGCAGGTCGTTCCAGACATTCACCACTCTGCGTTCGAAACAGAGTTGATGGGCGACCCGCTTCAAATCCGGGACGATAAGTTTATACCGGTGTCCTCGCGTGCAGCTTTGTGTGCGCAGATGAAGTAGTTGTCTCAACATGGGGTAGTCACCCAGATGTAAAATCCGGTGCGTCATGATGAGGTCAACCCTCAGCCGACGATAAGATAGGGTGTATAACCCTAGTTTCTTACATCGGTCTTCGTATGGCATACCTCGTAAGTTGGGAATCAGCCTAGTTGCTACATGCTGCACCCGCTCAAGCTTTTCTACTTCGCCCCGGGTGATGGGACAGTATGCGGGAGTGCCGTACTCTAGCATTGGTCGTATTATCGAGACGAAGAGGCGAGTGGCAATCTCTTCGGACCAAGTGCTAAAGCTGCGCCTGAGAGCCCAAAGCATACGAAGGCTGTTTTGGTACAGCCTATTCGTGTTGTCAATGGATTTTAGGTCGCAGCGTGAGAGTACACCGAGGTCGCGCACGAAAGCAGCGGGATGCAACGGTTGTCCAGCCACTGTGTACGTTCGGCCGTGATCATACTTACCCAACTTCATGAATTGCGGCTTGGCAGGGTTGATCGGAAGGTTAACCTCTGCAGACCATGTTGAGAGGCGGTCGAGATCCTGCTGAAGTAAATCACAATCATTGATCGTGCGGATTACTCTCCACACTTTCAAGTCATCTGCGAACAAAGCACAATGTGATTGTAGTAGCTGAGGCACATCGTTTATATGGATTAGAAACCATATCGGCCCCAGTACAGTGCCTTGGGGCACGCCGCTGCTCGATGGATACCACTCAGTTAGATGGTTGTCCACCTGGACTCTCCACTTCCGATCAATAAGGAAATTGCTGAATCTGTATCCCATGCTCCGCAGTGTAGCGGCTTCTGCTGTCTTGATTTTTGCCGACGACTGAAAACCATCGTGCGAAAGTGAAATGAATGGGGAATAATTGATTCCGGGAGGGTGTGCAAAACATAAATCCTTTCGGATAAAGCAAGGACGCCAGCCGTAGGGCATCGCAGCTGTTTCTAGCCAATACTGTGGCTGATTCCGAGGATTTCACGCAGGAAATCAGCACTCACCAATTCTGCCCAATTTTTTGCCTGCCTTTATACCGTTTCAATATGTCATTCAGTGGTCACTTCGGTACTTGTGAGAATTATTGGTGTATCGACCCAGTCGCTCAGTGAACCATAGATGCAAACATGCTGCCTTACTACGCTGAGCTCCATCGCGATGGAATGCATCTGGTGGAAACCACTGCCCATTTTAGCGGACGTCTACTTCTTCCGCCGGATGAACCGTTTGAATAAAATAATTTTTTTCGTAGCATTGGTAGCACAATGGGTGGGAATTCAGTTTCGCAGTTCTATCTTCGGCGATCTCTACCTGGTGAATCCAAACGAGGACCAAACCGATCATGGAATGCAGTGTTGGGAGCGAACAGTTTAGATGACTCTCCAAACCAGCCCAGTGTAAAATAATTTTCGCACGATGATGTTTAACGTGTGATTCATGGACCCCCTTATACCGCTTCCGCTAAGCGAGCAGAAGCACACCACAGCCTTGTTCTGGAAATGCGTTTGTGGTCACAGCTGAATTCACTGTGGAGGTCAGCTATGACCGACCTACCACTGAATCAAGGGCTGTTCGTTTGTCCTTCGCCTGCACCATCGTGACTTCAGGTTCGGACCTTTTATTCAATAGCCACACCACGCTGTGCCTCGCTACCGTAGTCATTTCTTTCGAAAAAACCCTGGTCTATCAGTTTTGGGCTTATGACTTGCTGAATGAAGATGAATGCTGTGTATGCGTGCGCGCCCGTTAGAATGCTCTCAGGGCGCTAACAAATTTGAGCTCCAACCGTCCGAATACAGTGGTCTTTACCACAACTGCGCGTTCAATATGGATCGAAGAACTCTTATTTTGTACCCAATAGTCAACTCTCGGTTACCGTCATCTTTTACCAGCGATATCATTGGCTGACTTTGTTGCAACCAGAATTCTCGAGAAGGGTGTCGATTCTAAACTGTCCATGAGCCGCTTCGGGAGATACCACCCTATCTGGTCAGGCGTGCCTACCTGCTTGCCCATCTCAGACGAAACACTGCATCTCCGCACCCATTAAATCCTCATCCTTGTCCTTGACTCTTTAGATTGGAGCTATCATTATCGATACTCGGGATAACAAGCCTATTTCTTTCATCACTAGCTTGAATTTGTGCAGTGGCGGTTGTCGTATGTTATCTTCAGTTGCAACCTTGTTGTTCGTCATCGAATTTCTCATCATTCGTGCAATTGTTGAATCAATTCTTCTCACTACCTCCGGTTATACCTCTTGCCTTCAAATCCATTGTAACCCTACTCTTCAAGTTACTTGGCCTACTCGTATTTGAGGTTCTTGATGAAGTGGTTTCCCAACCTACCATTTGGATAGCCCATTTCAAACACAATGCATGCTGTTATCTGCTGATAGGATAGGCTAGTCGCCTAGAGCACAACTTCCGAAGCCACTGAATATCATACATGGACTGTCTCAATCGTCTGCTTATTCCAGTGCTGCGTTGTGAAGTCTCTTATCAATGAACACCGCATAGTTGTTCCTCTTTTTCGTGGCTTCAAATGGTTAGGACAGGGAATTCAGCATTTTTTATGCATCACCCCTTTTTGTTAGGCTAGCTTCATTGCTTTTATATTAGGCTATCTCCTCATTTAACACTATTAGCGGATTTCATTCGGGATGCTAGTTTAGGGTGTACCATGTTACACTTCGAATTCCACCCTCCCAGACTATAACTGTGATGATGGTGTTCCACTAGTATACTACCTCTTCAAACGGCCCTCCTTATTTGTTGCACCTCGCACAAATACTGGGCTTCCCAATTGGCAGCTTCCTTCCAAGCACTTTAACTGGCCGCATAACCCGTCATGAAACTGTCCGCAAACATTCATTTCGTACTATGAAATGTCCCCTTTTCTCTGCTTCCGACTTCATTGTTTATCTTCCTGTGCCTTTCATTATTATCGCGGTGGAAAATTTGGTACCAACCTCTTTTTCTGGCTCTATTGTGACTGATTCGAAAGGGCGTACTCAAATCATTCTAGACCGCATGCTACTGGGCACATGGATTCTCACCGGTTATCATATTTCTACATACGCACGCGTTCGTACTATTCAAACACTCTTGTGAATTACTACTTTTCGCAAAATGAATAATGACTTTCGTTAAGCTCACTCAAGCGAATTGTTACACATAGCAAGAATAATCTCTCGGCTGGCACTGAAAGTCGACAGCATCGGCGGTGTGGAACCACGAACCCACACGACGACCGTACACGTGAACAAAACAGAAGTCCATTCGTGTGGGAAGTTACATATATACGGTCCTCATCAGATCATGGCGCATTATGGCGATAAATACCACTCAGTAACGAGGAATGAAACGGAGTGTATGCAATGAAATGTCTACAAACCAGTAAATCTTTAGGTATGTATGAACAGGTTGTGTGCACTTTGAATCAGGCCAGCTGGAAAAAACCTAGAACCTGAACCATGGAGTAGGGGAAGGGTTTGCACACTGGTGTCGTAGAACGATGGTCCCTTGAGTTTTCGAACGCTTTCTTAAACATGCGTTATTCATGCATTTTACCATGGACAAAGTACGCTGTACACTTAATGGCGGATGAATTGGGCGTAATTCATCACTTTGCAGCCATCGGGAACGTAATCTCAAAAACTAACCACCTGTCAGTGTGGAAATGTGAAATATGAAATCCTGGCACTTATGGCCTCGTTAGGGTAAGAGACCCGGACAAAATTTCTTTCAGCTTCATAAAGTCACGCTTGAATTTCTGGAGATGCCTCAGTCATAAATCACTCGCCATTATCTGCGCATTCATATCCAGCAAATTTGGACGGATAGTTATGGTTTCCAAGATTAGTTATAAAGGGAGAAGGATCATTCTCAACATCACGCTAGTCAACACGGAGCAGAGGCATCCAGGTAAGGGAACTGAGAATTTCTCGAATAACCACACATCAGTGAGCAGACATTTGGGTTGACCACACTTTTGAACCAGCGGTTAAGCAACCTTGCTCTCCCATAGGCTATTAAAACATTTTTATCCGGAAAGGATACCACACCGTCTTTCGTTTTTGTCCAACTGACACATTACCTAATGAAAAAGATAAGACGGTTTCCAGCGTATAGCACTGATGCTTTGTGGTGAGCTGATATAATCCCAACTTGCATATGTGTCAGTAGAATGCAGCGGGTAATTAGTTTTCTGGACAATTTTAATGACACTGAAGTAGTTATTTTCATTTCCTCCTAGCCACTGACTTTCTGTCTGCTTTCTCTACGTCAGTATTATAACTGTTAAGTATTTTTAGAGAATAGTGATCTTAAACCGCTAACTCGAAGCGTTCTCGCTCACGAAACAGATGGAGTGCTTGCTGCTGACTAGTCCCGAGGGGGGCGAAACTACCGTCTAAGCGCACTTCCGGATGTGCAGCTCTGACAACTCTTCTTCTAGATGATACATCTTTGTTGAATTTATTCCTCAAGTCAGGCGAATTGGAGTAGATTTGTTGTGTAGAGATAGCATTACTGCACCTCGAAGCGGGGACGTTACGAGCGTGTAATACCATATATATATATATATATATATATATATATATATATATATATATATATATATTTACATATTTATATATCTGTTTCGGATACAGTCCCGATGACCGAATTTACCCAGATTTAATTTAGTGCATCTAGTTCCAGGTAGAGATTACATGTCGCACTCCGTACACACTACCACGGCTTCAAAATAATTCCCAATCAGTCTCAACTCGTTGTGACAAGCGTGACCTTAAGCTCAGTGGCGTTGGAGTGCAGGCTTCGATATACCATCCCAACGTTATTGTTTCCAGTTACCGTCCTACTCTCTCTGCCTGAGGAATGGAAACAAGCAACAAACCGATCTTGGAGTGTGTAGTGTTGCGAGCAGCCAACGAGTGGCATTTATCTGGGGATGAACGCGCTTCTCTAAAGCAACGTGGACTAAGGCACCGTTGTTAGGGGTCCAATTTAACTCTTTCAATCATTACGGTAACGGTGGAATCGAAGCAGATAGGCATCTTTGAGCGGTGGTTAATATATAAATCACCTTGTTACGGTTTTGGGTTAAATCCAGCGTTGAATTTGTAAAAATGTATGGTGCCAGTTGGGCTAACTGAATCGCGGCAGTTGGGCTCACATATCACGGTATGGCCTCAAATCCCCAGCCTTAACTATATAAATATATGGTTGGCGGCATCCGGTTTCGGATTTGCCTGTCACTGTGGTCAGCCACAGGACGCCTGCACATACAGAGGGACCATGGATGGCTTGCGCTGCACCACCCACAGCTCCATCCACACACCCCATATCCAGTGTAAACCCGAAGGAATAAGACCGGGAGCCATGTGGATGGGAGCTACGTTTCATCAACGGAGCCGGCCCACACTCCTTCACAGACAAACACAAGCACGCTGTATTTGGGGAATCAAGCGCACACACAAGGCGGTGGCTGGACCGTAGTGCGCTCCACACTGAGTGCATGGAACCACTTTTCGAGCCTGGCACGGCCACAAGGACCGTGCACCCCGTCCCCTCCAGCAACGACCAACTGTCTCCTGGAGCCAGATGGACGAGGTAGTGGGTAGTAGACAGGTAGACACTTTGTCAACATGCACATCAAGCGCAGCCACACCTGGGATGTCAAACAACAGCCAATCATTCGAAATGCCGATATCAAATAAAGTAAACGCATATGACGACATAAATACTCGCTAAATGAGCATATGGAAGAAATTGGTTAAATGTGAATACGCGACAAGTACAAAATGTCCGAAAGTTATTTTTAAAAATACCACGCGATAAAATTACGCAAGTTTACTACAATTTGCATGAGCGACGTGTGTAAGTTGGGAGAAGATTATCAAGTAGGCAGAACAAAACTAAAATAAAATGTAATGAATTTTATCCACATTAAAAAGACTTAGTTTAAGTGTAAGCTGGTTTAGCCCAACTGCGGTGAAGAAGCATCATGAATGCGACATATATATATATATATATATATATATATATATATATATATATCACAATCTGTAGTACAACTATTGGGCCATCAGAATCATGGCGGAATAAGAAAACAAGACAGGAATAGGAAAAGATAGAACATGCTTCTTTTTCGTCTGGCTTTTCACTCACGTTTTCTGAGTTTTTTAATTGTTTGCTTTATTGGGGAAGGCAGTGGAAATCACCGCAACACGCAGGGATACACATTCGCCGTTGACGTCGGGCTTGAGTCATAACTTCCAGGGTCTCTAACCAGAGTCACTCTGTATCCCTGAAATCCCAATCAGGGAGTCGAGAACAACCGACTGAGGCTAACTGTTCCGTCTGCAGTTTTATGCGGCTTCTCCAAGTTGTGTACTTTCTTCGAAATCATTCTTTGGACCTTTATCGCCAGGAAGGACTCTGGTAGTCATCCAGTATTTGAGCGTTCTCTCTTTTCACTCAAAAAACTGTTTAAGCAGCATCGAGGTACATGCGAGTAAACAGTTTCGACGTTGGAACGCTCACTGCAGCAGTAGCTCAAGTAGCTTGTACATTGTTCGATGCGAGACATATCTTTGCTCCGGCAGCCAATCGATCGGGGAAACATTGATTCCAGTCCCGTGCGAATTGTTACTGATTGGTACCGCTCTCTACTGGTACTTTTGTTAATGCAGTTTTGGTAGTTTTGCTGCATCTGGCGGGGGGTACTTACAATACACATTTATCACTTGCTTTCGGATCCACGTTTATGTGTGGAAAACTAACTAGTCTCTCTCTCTTTTTCACGAAAATCGGATTCAATTGCGTGTCAAGTCTATTCCAGAACTGTAACAATGTTGCTATTCCACTTCTGTTAGAATAACGGGTCTCTTTAACAACTAACACTTTATTCATTCGCATGCATTTCCTCCCGTTTGACAGTACTCACACAGGAACCATTCACTCACCGAGCGACCGTTCGAGCGTCCTGTGGAATGTGGCGTATGCGGCCAATTACTCTGGGGGCTGAGTCCACAGGGCCTGGCCTGCAATAGTAAGTTATACTCTCCCCAAGCATTGTCTATCGATGTGGGCTCTTAATTGTCCTGATTTTCCTTCCACCTTTTGCGACTTCTGCCTCTCGGTATCCTCCTCAGTTATCAATCTTTATCCTCGAATATCTGTTCCCAATTTAGTCACATGCCGTCGCTCAAATATATGTGTAATCTTGTCCTTCACCCCCCTTTCTTGTCCATTACTTTAGACTGTGACTTGTGCGTGCACAGCAAGTGTAAACTCGGCATAAGGGAGGCATGCACGAAGGAGAATCGCAAATCAGGCATCCCCAATGCGATCCCCATCACCACGACAAATGGGACCCAATCGCCCCCCGACATGCCACCCTTAGCACCGCATGCTGTCAGTTGCACCCGTACCCATTCATTCGCACCTACTGTGCTTTCCACCGGCGGGGCCGTGGATGTACTAAGCGATGGTATCACCGGTAAGTTAACTCCGATGTCTGTTCGTTTCTCACCCTCATATCTCAAAATGCCAAAGTGCTTAGTGGTCAGCTCAAGTTGCGTGTCCGAAGGGTAGATTAATCGTCCACTTTAGAATGCCCGGTCTCATGTGGATTGGATTTGTACACATTCCAACCTAGTGTTTGAAAATGGTCTTTTCTATCAGTAGACGTATTTGCGCTCTGCACTACTGTAAACCCCGGGGCCTGAATTAACGCGCCTACGATGCCTCAACTGCGATTTCGGGGTTAGGTTTCTCATCCGTGCACTAGGTGTTGCTCCTTACAGCATCATTGCAGCTATGTTCACGTGTATGGTAACGTGATTCTATGCCTTCATTGCGCGCTTGGAGACACTGATGAATTACTTGCAAGGTCTGTTTCCCTAGTTTTTACGATATTTCGTATTGGCCGCCACCTCGTTTACGAATTCTGTTTCGTTCTCCCGTGATTTGGCGTTGCACACTGTCTTTTCTGACTCTTACAAGTCAGGGTTACACTGAATTTGGAACTTCATCTGTAGTTTTATCTAGTCACAACTAACCCGATACTTTGTCTTCTTCCTCCACACGCACCTCCACTCCGCAATGTCCTTGTATGTTCACGTTTCACTCGGTGTCTCTCACCTATATCATCTTTCATTGTGTGCTTCAACCTATCATGCACGGATGGTAAAGATTTTTCCTACTCAAATACTTGGAATGCTCGAAAACGGCGTTTTCGTGATAGACTAAATCGGCCGCTAGACGAGTTGTTCCATTCGCGCCGTCATCTCCGCTCTAGCATGACCAATCTTGAGTCAGGTGATTTTTAGGTGCACACACCATGCGCTGAAGTACATACTTGTTTTTTAACGCTTTGTCTCCCACCCCATGTACACTATTAACACTTTGCACCTCTGTTTGATCAAGCGAACGGCTGACGTAATGAGGTGAAATCCTTCACCGGGAGATCGTTTCCATGTTACCGGCGCTCTCACGTTCGCTCTGCAATCGAAAGGTGTGCAAAACAAGTCTGTGGGATCCTGTCTATCCATCCACGAGGGATCTGTTCGAGCGGAGGCAGTTATGGCTAAAGTAGCGATCGTTTCAGTAGGGCTTCGGCCGATAGCGGGCCCTACCTTTCACCACGAGTTGGGGTTCTTTAAAACACGTTTGTTTTGTAGTCATGTTCTATTGCATGCTAGGCCTTCGTTCTAATTTCCAAGTCGTTTGACCTCATAGCACCGTTATAATGAGGTAGATGGGCATTCGGCATCTCGTACTTCGCCAAGCAGACGACAAGCGTCACATTTGCATTTGTACTCTTGACCAGCCGTCAACAGGCGAATTTAGAATAAGTAAAGAAAAGTGAAAATTCTTATCACTCTTAGTTGTTCCACCAGCCAGTGCCGCGCTTCCATCTTGGCATGGTTTGCGCACGTGGCCGCAGTTGCAATTCGTCACTTGTTTGAAGTGATGAGCCTTTAAGCTGCTATTCGACAGCACATTTCAGCTATCACTGTATACGGGATTTTCCATTTTATCTGCATGGACCACCAACTCAATGATATACAGCTTCTCTAGCTTCTCGTATACTACCAAACAACTCACTTGGCTCCCGTCAGTGGCCAACAACTTATTGCCTATGGGAGGTTCGGTGTTGCTCCTCCCAACCCTGCCACCCCATAACCGGTTTCGTCCTCCTTCGCACTCATCAGATGGAGATAGCCTGAGCTGGGATGGACTTCGTGGCCCAGTGTTCAAAGGTTAACGTTTTGACCACTATGACTCTAAGATCCGCGAGTAACACTTGGCACAGCAGTAAAGGATTCCATATGACATTTAGTCTACCCGCTGTGTGGTTGGATTGCGACTTGCAATCCCTATTCAGACCTCAGTCCTATTTGAAGTAGAGCTCGGTCATTACGATCACAAGGACCGTCTCCGAATGAGTGGTTCGGTGTTGGTTTTCCCAACCCTGAAACCCCACAACCGGTTTCATCCTCTTTTGGACTCATCAGATGGCGTAGACCACCCCAGCTCAGGCTATCTCCATCTGATGAGTCCAAAGGAGGACGAAACCGGTTATGGGGTGGCAGGGTTGGGAGGAGTAGCACCGAACCACCAATTCGGATATGGTTCTTGTGATCGTAATGACCGAGGTCTACTTCAAACAGGACCGAGGTCCGAATAGAGATTGCGAGTCGCAGTCCAACCACACAGCGGGTACACCAAATGCCACTTGCAACTTATTGCCTAGTTGCATAAACTATTTTCTGGTGGCCGATAGCCTCGGGCGGGCAAAACTTTCACGGTAGCCACATGGTTTCGTTAGAACGGTGCGCAGCTACATTAGAGAATAAGCTAATGACCACATATCGTCTCTCCAGCCCTAATGTGTCTCTCCTTCCGTGTGAATCCTCCCATGGGTAGAATAAACAGATCAACAGATTACTAGGTAGCAGGTCGAGACACAGTTCATGAAGTCTTTCGGCCGTACGATAACCTTGTCCTATGGGTGTTGGGTTCACCACTGGGCAATGTCGGCACGCTTCGAGTAACCTCCACTGTACACCCTTTGTTCAGCCGCCACGCTGTTGTGCTCAGGTGGATGTACAAGTTGTATAGGTGGATTTTTTCCAGCTTTATCGTCGAACATTGTCTGGTTGGACGTTTCAGGAGAAGTGGAAGTCGCGAGCTGTCATTCAGCCCGCATATGATATACCGAACGTTCCTCGCCGCATACTGTAAGCAAAGTAAGCCTATAACAGTATTTAACGCCTCTTATCCACGTTCCCAGTACGCAATCGTCTTAGCAAAATAAGAAGTAAGGCTGTATTCAAACTGGTTTTCTTTTTTGCTCCTAGATATGAGCTGTTTCTTCTTTTGCTACTTGTTCTGCTTGCGCTGGAATGAGCGAAATATAGCATTGTTCACAAATATCGATGTGGATGCACTAGCCAAATCCGATCATCGCTTCCATTTAACGCACTGAGGTTTGCTGCACCAAGTTTTCTCTAAGTGGGCACAATATTCCCTCGTTTGCACATTTTTCTATTATAACATGCACACAGAGCATACGGCCCGATTGGGTCATCCGAAGTAACGCAGCTGCGGCAGTATATTTCGTAGCTCATATGTTGTGAGAATGATGCGAATCAGACAGGTAGTCTACCTGAGATTCTCCAAATCCTTTTGTCTCCGGGAGTGCGTGCCCCATAGCTTCCACAGTCTTGCCAAATTGGACTGTGGCACTAACCTTAGTCATTTCCGTGAGTCCGTTGTGCACAACCTAGCAAAGATGGTCATTTGAAGTCACTCCTTAACTATTGTTGAATAGTTTGGGATATTCATCCCTTCAACTGGTTGGCATTTGCTCGAATCTCGACTGCTTTTTCGTATCGCTTCTGAGTTTCCCACCTTTTATCAGACATCATTTATGACATTGTCTGCTGATTGATGACTAGAATGCCTTTGTGCGGACGCCACCTTCAGTTCTTAATAGCTCAGTAGGGCTTCACACGTACCCATTCTCTCAACATATTGGGACGTTGCTCCCGTTAACGTCAGAACTTGACGATCGACATTGGGGTCACCATTCTGTCTTTACTTGTTAGGATTGACTAAAGGAAGTGCATGAAGCTTCGGTTGTATACCGGTGTTTAGATGTTATTGTGTGAAATTGACTTCTAAGTTAAAATATCCTACGATGGTGTTGAATATAGCATCTTAGAAAAAATGTATCAATAATCTCCGCCAAGGCACCTTCTCCCTTCATTCTCTGTAGGACACTTTTGAGTATATTCACAAAACGTTCTGTTTGTCCCTTTGATTGCGGGTGAAAAGGTGGTGACCTCACGTGGATGATCGTGTTCCTGTGACAAGTCAACAAATTCGGATGCAGTGCACTGAGTACCATTGTCCGAAGCCAAAATATGGGAAACACGGAAACGAGAAAGTATCTGTCAAAGAGCGGAGACTATGGCTCCTGTAGTAGGTTTCACCATTGAAGTCACCTCGGACCATTTACTGTGGGCGTCGACAGTGACGAGAAAATGATGGCCATTCATTGGACCCGTAAAGTCGGTGTGTAGTCTGGACCGTGGTTCTGTAAGCATTGATCAGGATTGCAATTCCGTCTAACGATTTCATGCGATTCATTCCTGGGTGGCCAGTATGAAATTGTCGGAGGATTCTCTCTTGAGAATGACTGAAGTGACGACGCGGTCTAAGAATAGGAGACAGTTGTTGACGATAGACACTTCTTATCTCCGCATTGAGCTGTTGAAGCTCCTGTGTTACCACTTTCTTAGACCAGCCATTGAGGTGAAACTTGATTACTTTTTGTAGGGTATGATCATGATCAGTCGTTTCCTGCATCATATCGAACGTTATTGGTATGACAGGGAGAACATTACACACAGAGATTTGAACAAAGACCGAATCTTCTTGTACTTGACACTGTGCACCAATTAAACGAGTTAACGCATAATGTTGTGTGTAGATTGATATTTGACGTTGAAATTATAACCAAGTAGAACCGTTTCCTATTTGAGACGACTAGCTGCATAGACCGGAATATCTTTCTTTGATTCAAACATTGTAACCAAAGGTTTGTGGTCGGTAAACAGCGTGAATTCGCGTCTTGTAATGTTTTGTGAAATCGCTTGACTGCAAACACTATAGCCAAAGCTTCTTTCTCGATCTGCCCATAGTTGTGTTCCGCTGGAGTGAGTGATCTGGCTGCATGTGCCACACCAATTCCTTTGTCTGACACATCAGTAGCAACTATAATCTCCAGCTCCGGATTAAAATGCGTTAGCAAGAGGTCAGAACACAATATAGACTTGCCATAATCACATGCAGCTTGACATTCAGGGGACCAAACCCATTTGCTATGCTTCGCCAGAAGACCATTGAGCGGTCCTCATAGTCTATGCTATTCGGGTACAAATGAGCTGTGATGGCTGATCAACTCCAAGAATGATCTGTGCTTCGCGA